GACAAATTCTTTGCTGGAAACGTCAGGCACTTGACACAAGTCTCACCGACTTCATCAGCTACGTCTTCTATGGGATGTTCAAAGCTTTTGCCAGCAAGTTCGTTCCGCAACCATTGTTGCTGGCCATAGCGACGATGTATGAACTTGAACACAAAGACATCCATCATCGGATTCCAAGCGCGCTATATAAGTACTAATGTTCAGCATTGGGGCGGATGAACCCAACTGATCATTCAAAAACCCAACAGCATCGTTGGTAAAAAGCAGCTGCCAATGGTTATTGAGTTTGTAGACCGAATAATCATTCTGAAAACCCAACAACACGTTGGTAAAAGCAAAAGGTGTGTTCYCTCTCGGARAYARGTGTTCAGAGAGCGGCACCATTRCACAAACCCAACAACAACGTTGGTAGAAGCAGAGCCTAAACGCATTTACGATTTCGCTACCCTGGAATCACGATATAGAGTATTCTAAGATGCGAAAAAGTATCTTGAGTGTAAACAACCACCAATTCACGAATTTATTTTAAGACTTAGTCACCAAAGCGAGTACCATTACTCTTAAGGAAAAAAAAAATCGTCGTCTCTGTTCTTCAGTAGCAGCGCTGTCATCTTCAGCACGCGAAGCACGAAGTCTTAAAATCTTCATAAAAACATGGAGTCTTGAAATCTCCAACACGAAAATCGTCCTCCACTACAGTGTTGGTAACTTTAGCAGTCAAAGTGCTGCGTTTGCAGTATCGACGCACACTAACGGCCCAAGCACACAACATCACGCTAACAGTAACGTCATAACTTGGAACAGCAACATCGACACCCAATGGTCCTTAACTCGGTACTATTGTCACTAACACTATCGAACTGGGGGGCTAACTGTTGGGGTCGAATTTCACCCGCTCAACGTTGAATCTAAAGTTATGCAAGCGCAGCGCATAGACACGGAATTGCATTGACGTAAAGATATTATATGTTTATCCCAAGTCATTTCCTAGCAAGAAGATGAATCTTTCTCCTTTCCTAAGTCTAATCCGTCCAAGAAGGGAGCCTTCTAAGTCCTCTCTACTCGCAACAGAAGGCATGAGTGCAGTAAGGTCACAGAGCCACCAAGGACACAGTGCCAGCGATGTCGCAGTGCCAGTGATGTCGAAGTGCCAGCGATGTCACAGTGCCAGCGATGTTGCAGTGCCGGCGATGTCGCAGTGCCAGCGATGTCGTAGTGTCAGCGATGTCACAGTGCCACAAAAGACCTGCCAGAGTAGCGACAAATGCCAGAAGGTTCCCTGCGTTAAAGCCCAATCCAACTACGAAACCCACGTCAATGCAACCGACATAAAGAAAAGAGAATCCGCGAAGACTTAGGAAAGTTAGCATTATCTTTTACGGAAAAACGAGCCGACTTAGGGAGTTATATATATATCAATGTACAACCTTTGTAAAGGGGATCCGCAACTTTCTTCACAGAAGCATATACAGCAATAACAAACGTTTCTCTTTGCTCATCGTTTCTTTCGTAGTTTAACCTAGAAATCTCTGTTTCCTCACAAAATTTTTACAAATCTAATTATGCTAGTTTCGACTCCCACATTACTTTTTAAGGTGGTAAAACAAAGATGCCTAAAGTATGGGGAATCGGGTAGGAATGTGAAAAGTTTGGAGGAAATAGTGCAGTTAATCCGCATCATTAATTGTGAACTTTTAATGGTGTCTTAACACTTTTTTAATTAAAATATAATAAATTTTCATAACTTTTATAAAAGAAGTTCTATGTATTAAACTTTAAAACAATAGTCTTAGTAAAACTCATATAAAAAAATGAGTTAAGACACTTTCATCAGGGTTAGAGACAATGATGCTCTAACGAATTAAACATTACTTGTAAAACTTCAATAAAGACTCGAAATATTCTTTTTTTAAAATTACAACATTTTAATATTTTAATCAGACATACATGTTGTTTGTGTGTAATATCGTTGATGCGTCACCAACGCAAATTAAATCAAATCCGCTATAACGCATTTTTGTTGACAGAACTTACAAAAAAAAGATATACAAATTGAGTTTTCTAATCCGGTTAAAGACAGATTCATTTTTCTCAATCCGGTTTATAGCTCTAGGGAGCCGAACCGAAGGAGAGAAAGGAAACGTAGGAAGAAGACAAACAAGTGTGGAGTGTGTTTAAATAGAAGACAAAACCATGTTCTGCAAAACAGTTGTGCAACTCAAGAGAAAACCACGTTCTTCTCAACACTGCTCTTACTCTTTGATATTTTAGACATCTGCAAATCATGCAACCGTACAAATTCAATATAATGTTACAACAAACAAATAAAAACAAGTCACACATTTCGTCGACACGTCCACCTCACCAAACCAAACCATGTCCTAGCCACCCCCAGAAATCTACAACAAAACCCGCAAGTAGTCACCACTTTTCTTTATGTTTAAAGACCATCGTTTCACATGTTTCGATCAAATTTTGATTTGTATAGGAAAACAAAAAAAGGAGAGACTTTTCCAAGAACCCAAAAGAAAAATATGTGTAGATCGACTAATTTCGAGCGTTATGTTGAGAAAGAGAGCTTAAAGGTTAAAGCTTTCTTCGTCCGGTTCACCGGTTTACCCACCCGTGAACTCTTACCCGACTCTCTCACTCTTCTCTACCCACCAAGAATCAACGAAGCTGCTTTCGAGCTCGACGGGTCCAAGATCCGACCCGATTCACCAGCGTTCGTGACGCTCCACAGGGTAGTCAAAGGAGGAGATGTGATTTACGGGTCGAGAGAACCGGTTCGGGTCTGGGAAGGGATCCGGTTCGAGGTGTACATGAGTGAGGAGAGAGTGATAAAAGGTATATTCAGAAAAGAGGAAGGAGGAGACAAGTGGAAGCTTGAGTGTGAGTGTGAGATGGAAGAAGAAGGAACAGCTGAGGTGGTTGTAGGAGCGGAAGGACACGTGGCGACGGCGACGATGGCGAGGAAACATAGGAGGAGGAGGAGGAAACAGAGGATTGGGTTTGAATGTTTGGAGGAGATACCAGAGGAGAGAGAGGAGGGGAGAGAATCTGACGGTGGTGGTATGTGTTTTTGCACGTGTAGCGGCGGCGAATCCGACGACGGAAAAGGAGAATGGGAGACGGTGGAATGGACGGCTGAGATGGAGTCTGAAGCAGAGGGAATGGGATGGGCCG